AAGTCGCCTTCTTGCTGCTCCTCAGGCCTTCCCTTCTAGTACATGGCTTCTTCTGCAACATTGAATATACAAAGTTTAGTTCCAACGAAAATAATTGTTTCCCAAAAGTTTTCTAGACATGCACAATGAACTTGTAATATTACACTTGGTGGATCGGGTATGTCGGTTGTATCAACATCCTCTTCATTATCCTCCTCTGATAAAACCGGACAAGTTCTGGCATTATGAATGTCCTTCCCACATTTACTGCAATGTTTTGGTTTTTTGCGAGTTTGTGGTGCCTGCTGGTATGTTCCGTTGTTGGCGATGTTTTCATTATTTGGTTCTTCATTATTTGGTACTGTGTCACCAGCAGCTCCGTCGTTAGATAGGTTGTGGTATTGTAGGCATCACATCCCGAGGAGGGTTTTTACAAGTGCTTTTTTATGACCCAATACGCCACATCTTCTACACATTTGTGGCTCCCCTTTCTTCCTTTTGATATCTGGGATCTCAGTATCACCTTCGTTCATCATGTTTAGCGATTCACATAGGGATGCAATTCCTGTTCGAGCAAGTTTGAAGCTATCGCTTGATTTTGCCCCTTTTAACCATAACTGGGAGCTGCTTTGTTGAAGAAGCCCATACCTGAAAATCACAGTCAATATTATTCTATTAAAACGTCATGAAAAAGTGAAAGATTATTTTATAAAATGAGTCAATGCCCTATGGTACCACCTTAGAATTTAAAAAACACCTCTGAACTGCTTTCTTAAATACACAATTACTAGCTTTATACAGTAACTACGAACCTGAATGTGAATAGTATACCCTCGTCCATATTGTGTGGTTGTTGTAAGCTATCAAGTGTCTTCGGCTTCTTTGACCACCTTAACTTTACCAACCGTTCTGGAAGTTCCAGCATACCCTCTTCTTTCAGTAGATGAACCATATGAGAGCATGGTATTCACATATAGTGGTAATAGTTACAACTACACTCCATAGCAAAGGGCTCAATTGTGTATGTGACCTGAAAAACCTTGTGTTTACCTGACATTGTCACTCTGTAAATGCGTTGGTTTTCCGATAACTCTGAATCCATCCTTACACAAGCTCTCGACTTTTCAACCCGATCTCTGAATTTGAAAAAGGCTTCTTTTGTGAATAATGTAGATGCACTCTTCTGCATTGAGACTAATATATTAGATGTTATGCTCCATTCACGATGGATGGATTCAAAATCAACTTGTTGCTCCGTCTCCCTCATATCTCTACCCCAACGATAAAAATGAATAAAGAACTCAAGTAGATTATGATTGTTTTCGATATACTTGGTAAGCTGAGAGTTCATTCCTTCACATCTAGACGTTGTTGACAATCCTGCAAAGAACTTAGAGTGCAAGTATGTATACCCCCACTCAGTTCTTTGGTCAAATAGATGGGAGACCCAATTGGTGTGCTGCTGTGAGCACTCCTCGACCATTGTTTTCCACTTATCTTCAAATTCTGAAGGTTCCCAATCAGCTGACACGAAATGTTTCCATTGTGGCAAGAAATTAGGATTGTCCCTCACTTTTCTGGCAATAGTCTTGTCTATGTGCCAGGCACATAAACAATGTGTTGCATCGGGGAATACTTGCTGAATCGCATTGCGCATGGCTTTATCTCCATCTATAACAACAGTTTTAGGATCTACACCTCCCAACCTTCTCCGCAAGGCATCTAGAACCCATACATAATTGTCTTCTTTCTCATTTGACAAAAAAGAACATGCAAATATGCAACTGTTGAAGTGGTGGTTCACACCTAAAAAATAAACGCATAATAAGCATGGTAAAGGAAACTGTACCGGAAGTCATACCGGCTCCGCCAGTGGTAGGGTATTTTGTGGTACTACCGGGGTTCAATCGTTGTCTACCGGCAAAATACCGTTTTTGTAATTAAATAATATTTTTTTGTTAAAAACCGTACCGGCAGATTCGGGATACCGTTTCGGAATAATACCGGAATAAAATCGGAATATATCGGATAACAAACCTGAATAAACTAAATAAGCATATTTAATATAATCGTTATTTCACACATCTACTTCAGTGACTGGTTTCTTCAAAACAGCCAAAATTCTCATTAGAATAAAGGGCAGAACATTGAAACAAAAAAACTTATAATCGTTATTTCACACATCTACTTCAGTGACTGGTTTCTTCAAAATCTACAAGTTCGGCTACTAATTTGCTTGTGATCAAACATCAATATGATCAAATGAATGCAATTTCCAACCATCCCAAAAGAATTGACACTACAACATTCCAATATTTCATTTGCATGACTTGCACCTAAATCAATTGCATTCATCCATACTCCAATACTCATTTGAAGCCTAATAGATTTGTGGCCAGAGATTCGGATCCACTCAATAGTGGGACGGTGGATCAGCAGTTCATTTTTTAACCCTACTATTTACTAGAATCTATAGAGGATTAATAATTACATTTGGGTTTGTGTTGCATTGATTAATCAAATGAGTGAAAACAAAATAGTTATTTGTTCGCAATCATGTGGGTTTATGACAAACAAAAAGTCAGATTCAACAGCCGTTTGAGAACGAATCCAAAGAGAATCATAAAATAAGGAAAAGAAGCAATTTTGGAGGTGTTTTCATGATCAAATGATGTCTAATCTTAAATCTTATATATCCCAATCCCAGAATCTACTCTCTTTCTGTATCTATGAAATCATACATGATCAAGTAAACTAAAAAGAAAGAAGAAGAAAATTACTCCAGAGATACAGGCAAGACTGCATTTTTCGATGCTATGTTATGCCCAAACGAAAAGAAATTCCTTCTGCTCCTACTACTTCCACCACTACACCCTTCAACTGAAAGTTTATGAAACATACCTGTTGCCGCCGTGTTCTTCTTGAGCAGGGGAGGGAGACGCGTGCCGGTGCCGGAGACGCGTGCCGGAGCAGCGGCGAAGTAGTGGCGGAGCGCGTAGTATCGGCGGAGTAGAGGCGGATCAGCGCGGAGCAGAGCAACCGCAGAGCAGCGCGGAGCAGCTGGTGGCCTGGTCGCCAGTCGCCGATCGAGAAGAGGAGAGAGGATCGCCAGGTCCTGGTCGTCGCTCGAGAAGAGGAGGATCACGGTCCTGGTCGCCAGCAGCAGCAAACGAAAAACGAAGACTGCGGCCGATGATTTAGGGTTTTGACTTTTGAGGCTTTGGCCGATTTTTTTTTTTTTTTTCTAATGCCAAAATGACGTCGTGTCCTTCCCATAAGCTTACCCCCTGTTAGGCCAAAACCGCCCGGTTTTTTGAATTGAACCGGTTTTATCGGGAAAACCGGCCAGAACGACTCTTTCACTACAAACCAGCTACCGTATCGGCCAGGCGCCGGTTTCCGATTTTACCGGTTCAACCGGCCAATACAATCTAGTTTCCTTTACCATGATAATAAGACAAGAATTACACTGTACCCATAAGAGGTTAAGAAAACGCATGGGAGTGATATTACATTAGGCTCTATAACGTGTGCTATTAAGTTTCAATGAATGAATACTTTATAGGAATGCAAATATCAGTTACTATGATTTCAGGTACTAAAATAAAAGAATTAGTACCTGAAAAAATGACTAGAGTCATATTGTAGACGTTCTTTTTGTAAGTTGCATCAAAAGCCAATAATTCTCCAAAGCATGCACAATCAGCCATTGAAATACTATCTGCCCAGAACAAGTTAACAAGCCTGTCGTCATCGTCTTTCTTTAGCTCAATGACGAATTGTTCGTCTGCACTAAGTTTCGCTTGTAGGTAAGCTAGGGCTGTCGCAGCATCACCATCAATAATCTGTTCCTTCCGATCTTTGTCCACGTAATTATATGCATCCTTCGTCGTGACCCCATCTTGTTATAGCTTCCTGCCTCCGCAACCGCTAGTGAAACAATCTGTGATGTTTTCATTCCTGCAACTCTCCGAAAATTGATTGTTGCTTTAACTGCATCACTCAACTTTCGATTCCCTCTCATGTAGTGCCTGTATTTTTTAGGAACCGTTACGTGAGAGTGCACGTTATCAAAGGTATCCACAAACCACTTCCCATCTGACTTGTCTAGTCGAACATGCATCCGAGCTTTGCAGTCAAATCTCGTCTCTCCTTTTGGCTCCCTTTTTCGTTCACCCTTTCGGTCGCGCTTTGTTCCTTGACCAGAACATACAAACCAATGCCATATCATGACCTTGTCTTTATCTCGGCCAATATCTTCTTTCCTTACGTCAAAGCCAGTGACCAGCCCGTAGTTCCTCCAAAAATCATAGGCTTCTTCAGTGTTAGCGAATCTTAGCTTCTCGATATCTTTTTGCTGTAGAAGTAAGAGATCGGCAAGATCATCATCGTCTACCTCTAAACTTTTGTCGACTTTGTGAATAGTTGAACCGTTACTGTTATTAATGTCTTCATTATTTTCCACGATTTCATCATCTGCCATGATCGTCGTGCTTGTGATTGTCTCAACCAAATAACCCTAAGTAGCAAAAGTAGTACTAAGGAACTAGCCTCCTCGCTGGCGCATTCACTAGGAAAAACCTAAAGGATGTTGTATATAAGCTGTCAAATAAAATCCTTCTCTTCAACAGAACAATCGTGGGCAAGACATCAATGGGTTGGACTGAATTCGTTGAACTTTTAGTTTGGGCTACTTAAATAAAATGAGTGGGCCTAAATAACATGCCTTGTTCACACTTAAGTCCATTAAGTAAGTTGATTCCTAGTGCCGCACAAACTTGCCTGTGGTCCCTCAAGTGGAGCACACCTACTCCAAAAGCATCAATTGCACCAGGTGGTCCCTCCAAAGAAGCATGCCTGCTCCAAAAGCATCAATTGCAAAAGGCACGGTTGCAGAGGCCTTATCATATATGAAAATCCTATCACCATTTACTCTTCCATTTGTCATTGGCAGTAGGCGATTCTATGTTGATAAGATTTTTCCCCATACAGCTTATATAAACCGCACTCCCCTCTTCCTCTCTTCCTACAAAATCACGGAAGCTTGAATGCAACTTGAAATGCCTTCCATTTCTGTCTCCAACCTTAGTTGCATCAAGTTACGGTAATGAGGAGAACTCTAGGTTGCTAAGGAGTTTCCCAACATTCAATCATGTTTGTGAGATTGCCATGTATAGATGGGAAGCTCCCTGGCCATTTGAATGTTTTTCTCATTACACTTGACGCATATACAGTCTGTGTTTTTGGAAAGTAGCATTCAGGGTGTTTGATGTGCTAAGGCTTTTTTTCATTGTAAGAAGTTTTTATTTATACAGGAGGTTGAGGATGTGGAAGTTGCTTCAAGACCCTTTCCCAGGCTAGAAGTTAGAGCTGAGACAGACAAATGGTCACAAATGCAAGCAGTGCTGGACCAGTTTAGGAATTAGATAGATCACTCTAAGATGATTCTAAACACCAGTCTCTACATTCATCCGTAAGTAAAACAGTGATTTCTTACTGCAATGACTTTAATCTGTAAGCTAAATATAGGCTAGATTTAGTCTCCATATTTTTCTTCGAGGAAGATTTAGTTTCCATGTTTACATATCACACGTAACTAGTTAATTCCTTATTAAGTTCATTAAATGAGGTGGATAAATATAGAAGTTCCAACATAGAAAAGAACTCTAATTTATATCTCACGATTTTTTCCTAATACACGAGGTTAAACACCCTTCTCGCGCATCTATTAATATGGCCAAACATCTTGGCCAAAACTCATTCAACTACAAGTAGGGCAAATGCCCTTTTCTCAACATTGTCGTGTCTGTAACATCATGGGGAAGGAAGGGTAAGGACTGCAATGCGCTAATATGTTTTCTTTAACTTTTAGTCAGCTATTTCGTTGTATTTGTTCTTATCTTCCACTCTCTCGTTGCTTTTTTGTACAATTATATTAGGGAGAAGAACAAGATGACGAGAGCACAGTCTACTGTATGCCTAACGCGTTCTGCAGCCAAGTCTATGGTTCGTCCAGGAGCTTTGTCCATTGTTCTTTCTACAAAAAGTATGCTGACTTGATTGTTCATTATTGTAGGAATTGGAGAACTATGTATCTCCTACAAAGAAGACAAGAGTGCAAGACGTCATCCCTCCACCTACGCCCGACTCGAAGTTGATTGTTCTTCATGCTGAACCAAGGGTGGACCATTATGAGCTAGGTGTGCAAAAAAAAAAACCCATCCTGCCTACACAAAAATTGTCAATGAAGGTATGTAATCCTAGCGATGTACATATGCTTCCTTTTCACCCAATATTTTTGTTTTTTTCCTTTGTTTCTTTTTCAGCCACTGGACTTCTACTTCTTCTTTAATTAATTATATATTTTCATTTAAAAAGTAAAACCTAAAACTCAAGAAAACCTCTTCTTATTTCCTCTATTTGTTTGTTCTCCATGATTGCAGGGTACCACAAGGTTTAAGCTCCCTACAGCCGTCAACTACAGTGACGAAGAAGTGAGTTTTGCTCACTATATATTTGCAGAAGACCTTCCCCGTGATGAAGCTTTGTTCGAAACAATGATGAAATCATATACCAATCAGACATTATGGAGCTTATGCCCCGAGTCAAGCGTTGATGCTGATGTATGTACTTCAACGAAACGCCCCTAGTTGACCTGAACGTGTTTACCGATTTTTAATCATTGGTGTTTTATTTCTATTTTTTTTTAGTTAATTACAACGTTAGCTTGCCACTTGACCTTGGACAAAGTTAGAAGAGATACTTGTTGTGGAAGACGAGTGTGCTTTCTGCCTACGGAATTGCAGGTAGCTGGTGCTTTTGCTTTGTAATTCTAATTCAGTTTACACAAGGTTGGTTGTTTATTAAGTAAGATTAGTGTTCAATCATTTAACTTCATTTTACTACCAGGATATGGTCGTTAATTATGGCATGACATCTGCAAAGGCATTAGAGTTTTATGATACAAAATTCCTATCAAAAGCGCATAACTGTAGATATGTTAAGACTTCTTCAGAATTCTTCCTTCTCATTTCTGCTTATTTAGTAGCGGTTTTCAAAACATATGTGCGTGTGAATTATGTCTGCCATACTGCTTAATTTCTTGAATGAATTACATCGGAAAACTAATTAGTTGATTGGATCGTTTTCTCGTACCTGTGAAGGTTTGTCTGCCCATGAAAGATATGATCAATGATGAAGGCATCCACTGGTATTTAGCTATGATTTCGATGGACGAGAAACAAGTACACATTCTGGATTCATGTCCATCAAAAGAGCGTCACACAATCCGCAGGAATGCAGTTCACACAATGGTATAGTTAAAATTTGTGCCATTGAATTCGTACTTCAATACACGTGTTTTTAATTGAATTATGTAGCATTATATTTTATAACCAAAATTTGTAATTCACAGGTTTCTTTTTGAACTTTGCATATTGAATTTCTGAACAACTTGTTCGATGCCTTACACAAGGAAGTTCAATCAACATGTGCATCACCAAATATTAAGGAGTTTTCATTGACTACTGATCCTGAAGTTCCTAAACAATGACACAAGTAAGAATGTATATTTGGTCATAATTTCACTAGAAAAATAAAATATTCGTGTCTTACGTAATGTATCTTTCTAAATTGAAATGATAGTGGGATCTGGGTGTGTGTGTGTGGATGATGGTATCAACATGGGATGATGACTATTATATTTGGGTAAGAAATCACCTACTACCTAGCCCCATATATTTCTATGAGCACATTAAAAGAACTAAGTCAACATATTGTATTAATACTTTATATTTTCTGTCCTTACAGCCATACAATCATTTGAGAAGAATGCAGGTGGCATTGTACCTCCTCAAAGAGCCTACCAATTACATAAGACACAAGGTCCTCAAGAAAGCAAATAAGAATGCGGCTAGGTTTGAAGCTCAGAACTTGAGTACAAAATAGCTTCCCAAGAGAGCAAAGCAGCTTCCCAGAAGAGGCGAATTCAGGGCCGAAGGATATCTAGTCGCATAGTGTGTTCTGCATTTTAGCATTTAGTTTTGTTTCTTCCTTTCCAACAAACGCCTTCTTTATGGTAACAATTTAAGGACACGTTTATTATTTGGCGGAACTTGTGTTCTGATCATTTTCAACAAGGTAGAAGCATTGTTTCCTAGGATTTTGGTATGTTCTGCTTGGACCCCCTGTGATAAGAGAGCTTTACCCGTCTGGATTGTTTTTTGGGATAGTAGGCGATAGGTTGCAAGTTTTGGTGTGCTTGCAGGAGTACAAAGGAGGAAAGCTATTGTAGAGAATAAAGGGCCTTCTCGTTTTTTTGAAAGAAAGGTTTCATACAAGGCATCATACGAGTGTTTTCCACGGATGGGATCAATACATTAAATCTTTTTGTGAAAATTTTAGATTACATTATCACACCACTGATGAGTTGAATTTTTACCACGGTTAAGTACTCCAGTTTACTCAAACTAGACCAAGCCTATTGAAAAAAAACCCCAGCCGTTTTACAGAAGGTCTACTGGTACTTCATTCCACCCAAACACGGTTAGTAGAACCTTCATATACAAAGCATTAGTCTCTGCAAATATAACCTTAAGTGAGACAACTCAACAATGAAACCAGACAGTGAACTACCTCTCAATAAGATCAAAGTAGTTTTCATTCAAATAGAAACTTTACTCTTTTAGCATAACTGCATAAGAACTAACAAGTTATAAAAAGTACTTAAGGCTTTAAACTATCAAATCCATCAAAACAGAAGCATAACTCGGAGACCATAAAATTCATAAAATAAAACTTTACCCTAATCCACTAAAATTTTAAATGGAATCCAAATAAAAAACAATACAAAATTAAAACTACCATGGAAGCAACCTGACTCCTATCAGCGAAGCAAGATCGTGGAAATCAATTCCGAGAGGAAAATGAATTGTGTAATTCCAGACACCGCAAGAACACCTTAATAAAGCGAATCAAAATCTTCGTAATGTACTGCGACAACTGGGCAATAATCAAGAACACAGACTCCAACAATTTAGGGGAATCAGACGAATCTCCCTGGAACATAACACCAACAGCTTTAGCATTTGGTCTCCAACAAAATCACAGAGTCAAGCTCGAAAACCATGTCACACAGCTTTTTCTAAATTGACTTGGGACTGGGTGTTGATGTCGAGGCATGTCCAGAGGTGGATGCCGTGGTCGGTCAGGAGCTTTCTTAGTAGAATCGCGACCTTGGTGCAAGCGTCGTCGTTGGGTACAGAGGAGCTGGAGGAGGTGTGCCATATTGAGACAAAGGGATGGGGGTGCTTATGCTTTCACAACTTGAAGGCGAGATTACCTGCGATGTTCGGCCATTGGATTAGCAATGGGGGCGGAGTTTAGGGTTTAAAAAATGGATGGCGAGGAATCATAGGACAGGGGGAAATATGACAGTCGAGAACGGGAAAACGAAGAAGAATAAGAGGGGGAAACAGAGCGGTTCAAATATTGCTGACATTTTCTGAGACGGCTAGGATGATTTACAGGGGTAGGGAGAAAGAACAGAGTTATTCCCAGTTCGAACAGAAAAATGGAGAAGAGAGAAGGTCCAAGGTCTGGATTTGGAGGAGAGGGGTAGGGCTGTGGGTGGGGCAAGGTAGGTGTCCATTCTCTTGGGGTGGTTGGATTTGGGGTCAATTAAAAAACGAAACAGAACCAACCCGATTTGGTTTACAATGGACTAAAATTAAAGAAAAAAGAATTCTAAGAATCATTCAGTAATTTTATTTAGTATAAATTACTAATAAATAAATCATTTAATAAAATTTAATCTCAGCCGTCGAGATCACACGTACGGTCAAGATCACCCAAGGTACGGCATACCCTGGATTTTACCCGGGATACGATAGAAGCCACCACATATATATTGATGATAAAACCTAAGAGGGAGATCATTTACGTGGACTAGTGTCATATTGATGATACCAACTTAAAAAACTTTGGTGTTCTTGTTTGTCTTTGGATTATTTGATATGGTATTAGAGCATGCGATCTGAGATTGGTTAATCGTATTTCGCTAGGTGATTTTCTGATAACCTTTGACGTTAGGGTTTTGCTTGGCTTCTGCCTCAAGCGGTCAACTTCTTTTCTCCATTGACGCTAGGGTTCCTGTCATGTTTCTTCATCAGGTGGATTCTTGGCTCTCTTGGTTCTCTTTTCTTTTGTTCATATCTCAAACGATCAGCTGTCTGCCTCCTCGACTCCTTGTCTCGGCAGTCCACTTCTTCATTTTGCCCAGGTTTCTTCTTTCCCTTGCTTCGCATCATGGATTCTAATAGGATGGATGGTTTTTCGGATAAGTTTGATGGCAAAAACTTCCCTCTATGTGAGTTTCAGCTTTGTAATTTTGTAGAAAGAAGACGCTTGCTGCCAATTTTGACAGGCCAATCCAAGCGTCTGGCGGCTGGTTCTCCCATGAAGGACATCGATGACCGGACCACGCGTAATGCCCAGGTGGTCACCTCACTAGCTTCGTCGGTTTACGTGGCCACTTCTCTCAGCCTTAGTTAGTTTACCGATGCCAGTGATATGTGGAAACATATATGCTCTACATATACTCGGAATGATGCATCTAGTCAGTTCGAGCTGGAAACTCAGATTGCTTCGCTCAAACATGTCGACAGTGATATTCGTTCTTATTTTCAAGCTATCACCAGTCTTTACACCGAGTATGATCTTCTTGATGCGTTTCTTGTTTCGACTGCTACCATTGCCAAAAAGATGGCGGAACAATCTCGTTTTCGTCTCATTTAATTTCTTATGAAGCTTCGTCCTGCAAGAAGAGAAATGTTTGTGGTTGCTCGTCCTTGGGCGCAACACGTTCTGGTGGCTCCTATAATCGTCGCAGCGGCCGGAGTTATTCAGTGGAGGTAGCTCCCACTCGTTCCACTTCTTCTTCTGGTGGGGTCGATGCTGCTCCATTGACTGCGGACGTCGTGCGCAGTTTGGTGGTCGATGTTCTTCAGGAGACTCTTCTAGTGGCCTAGACTACTTCTTCTTTCGTCACTGTTGGATCTTCAGGCAACTCTCGTTGGTTACTTGATTCAGCTTCTTTTAATCATATGAACCATACCCATTCTAGTTTCTCTTCTCTTAAGCCGTCACTTGTCTTCTCGTTACAAGTGACTAATGGTGATCTTCTTCCTGTACATGGTATTGTAATGGCTACTTTTGGCCGTGTGAGATTGGATAATACTCTCTATGTTCCTCCGCTTGTTCCTAATTTAGTCTCAGTTGGGCAGTTAACAGAAGAATGTTGTGAGGATTAGTTTGACATTCATGGGTGTGTTGTGTAGGATCCGAAAATAGGGAGGGTGATTGGGAAGGGTAAGAAGGCGGGTTGTGTATTTGTTCATGATGAGCATGGTGTTTTGGATAGAGACTCGCCGCCACGGCTGCCTTCGGGGATAGAGACACGTGAGGTTTGGGGTTCTTTGCCGCAGTTATGTAGTGGGGCGACCAGTTTAACTACTACACTAGCTGCTTCAGATTTTTTGAGGAATGATTAAGTTTCAGTTTTTGCTGTAAAAGCCTAAGGGCTCTTTGGATTTTACCAAACAAACTACTTCATGGAATTTGTGGCATAGTCTCCTTGGGCATCCCCACAAGACACGATTATTGGATATGTTTTTTCGCAGTTTGCTTTCTAATCATTTGCCTTCGCAGTTTTATGTGTCCAATTCGTGTCTTAGTTGTATTGAGACTAAAACTTCCCAATCACCCTTCCCTGACAGTGAGACATTTTATACTGACCCGTTTGATTTGGTGCACCATGATTTATGGGTCCCTCTCCTGTTGTATCCTACATGGGCTTCCGTTACATCGCTCTTTTTGTTGATCATATCACTAGATATTCTTGGATCTACTTTATGTGTCGCAAGTCAGAGCTGATTACTCATGCTAAGCATTTCGTTGTGATGATTCGCACGCAGTTTGGCAAGACCATCAAGTCTATTCGTTCTGATCCTGGGAGTGAATTCAGTTCAATTCCCCTACTTGATTTCTATAAGTCTCATGGTATTCTCCTTCAGCATCCATTTACAAGCGTCTCTCAGCAAAATGGCCTGGTCGAATGGAAGCACCGTCATGTTTTGGAATGAGTCGTGCGCTGCTTTTTCATTCTCGGATCCCTCGCACCTTCTAGTTTGAGGTTGTGAGCATAGTAGTGTATCACATCAATCGGCAGGTTACTCCAGTTCTTGGCAATCACTCTCATTTTTAGCATCTATACTCAATGGTACCTGACTACTCTCGTCTTCGGATTTTTGGATGCCACTATTTCGAGCTCCTTCCCAAGAAAGCTTGAGATAAGTTGTCCCCGAAAATGGCTCGTTGTGCGTTTGTTGGTTATAGTAGTCAGCACAAATGCTACTTGTGTTACGATACTGTTGCTTGGCGTATGCACATCTTGTGTCACGTGGTGTTTTTAGAACATGTGATGTACTATCCGGTGGCCGAACATAAAGATGCCTTGGACTCGGATTTTTTGCGCTCCCTGCCCGTGTTTGACTCCTCATCTGATGTCCCTCAGAATGATTTTCAAGGAGGGATTGCTCTTGAAAATCATTCACTTGATTCAAATGGTCCTTCAGCAAGGACTACATCCTAATCGCCGAGCTCAATGGGGCAAACTGCAGTACCTTCTTAGTCTACATTGTCACCTTCTTCGAGCTAGGCCTCTGCACGTTCGACCTCCTCCTCTATGTTAATGTCTCCCGCAGCCTGGCACGACAGCTCATCACCCTCGTCTTTTTCAAGTTCTCAGGAAATCGGGGTGAGTTAGCTAGCTCGCTACATGAGCTAGACATGCTTGCACCGCTTCCACAACGACGACGGTCTATGCAAACTATGATGGGACACTTGCCGAAACGACTGGAAGATCGTACAATTTGACGTGAAGAATGTGTTTGTTTCTTCATGGGGATAGGGAGGTCATTTGTCTCATGGAGTTGTCGAAAATAGGATAAAGTATCCAAGTCGTCTCAGGAGACAAAATACAGGTCGATCTAAGAAGTTAGTTCAGAGATGGTTTAGCTGCAAAGATTATTCCAGAAGCTAGGAGTTGATTGTCGATTGCCTATGAGGATCAATGGGGATAATACTAGTGCTATCTAGATTACTATTAATCCAGTACTGCATGATCAAACAAAACATTTTGAGGTGCACGTGCATTATAGTAGATAACTCATTGTAGAAGGAGTTGTGCATCTCAGTTACATGTCTACAAAGGATCAAACTGCAGATGTCTTCACGAAAGTAGTTCATTCAAGCAGACATTGGTACCTATCTTCCAAATTGATATTGCGCACCCAACATCAATTTGAGGGAGGGTGTTGATTTATAGTAGTTTAT